ATATTTTCAGTCAGGTTTCATTAATTCTGTCTTTACAATGCGAGGCAGTTAGTTTTATTCTGGTAAGAAAGGCTATTTTCAGATCAAAACAATTTCCTTTTCCAAGTTTACTGGGTATAGTAGACTAAATATCTTTTAAAGAGAAAAGACTGACTGACTGACTCTATGTGTGTGTGTGAGAGAGAGAGAGAGAGAGAGAGAGAGAGAGAGAGAGAGAAAGAGAGAAAGGGACAGAGGGCTTGGGAGAGGGGATACATTTTATTTTCTTTAGTATTGGTGTGGTACTTCAGGATAATGCACTGGACTGCAAGGTTGGTTTGAATCGCAAGATGGGCCATTCAGACCCACCAGTCACGCTTCAGAAACCCTATATGGAGTCACCATGAATTGAAACTGATTCGACGATACTTAACAACAACAGCAAGGAACTACAAGCCAGTGAGGCTGAGTACTATCATGCCATGGTTGAGCATGCTGCTGAGCATGCTATTCAGAAGCGCCCATTGACTCCACAGGAGTGAGGCCTAGTAATCTGCTCCCCTAAAGACTCTAAGCAATAACTCAAACCCATTGCCCTGAGTTGATTCCAGCTCAGGACGATCTTACAGGACACAGTAAAACTGCTCTGTAGGGTTTCCAAATCTTTAAGACCTGCGAAGTAGCTGGTAGGTTTAAACCAGCAAGCTTTAGGTCAGCAGCCAAGTGTTGCTGGTACCAGGGCTCCTGCCAGTAAGATTTATAACCTAGGAAATGCTATGGGACTGTTCTCTCTGTTATATGAGGTCATTGAGTCAAAAATCCACTCAATGGCACCCACCAACAAGAAGAATAGTGTGTTAGCTCTATGTAACAATACAAAAGAAAACTCACAAAGGGTAAAACTGATCAATGTAATTAAAAACAAATTAAAATGTTAGATAAATTATTATTCGCTCATTGCCTCCCTTGTGATTAAACATATTACTTAAAATCCAGTGAAATTACTTTATTCTCTTTTTTTCCATGAGCTTTATCAAGGGAAGAGTAACAGTATTCATCCTCCTCTTGCTTTATTATCAAAGTTATTTTAGATTCATTACTTACCCACAGGTTCTTTTGTGCTTTACAAAATGTACTAAAGATGAGACCTTCAAAGACATGTAATGTTTAAACCAATCTCTAGTGGTAGTCTTTCTGTACTGTTTTGTTTATATACAGTTATTTATTTGTGGATTTCAGACCAGTCTCTATTGTTGTTGTTAAGTGCCCTCGAGTCTGTTCCAACCCATGGCTCCTAAAAACCAACTAAGAAGTCAAAGGATCCATCAAAGGTTAAGTGGGAGCTTACAATGCTGTTTAATTAACATTTACATTGTAGTATGTATTATAAGTCATCTAGTGATGATTTAAAGTACAGGAATGATTTATATAGGTTATATACAAATACTAGTCATTCTACCATTTATGAGTATATAAGGGACTTGAAAGGGGACCTGGTAGCATTCTGGGTTATGCTTTGGGTTGCCAACAGAAAGCATTTACCAGCTGTTCCACTGGAGAAAGATGAGGTTTTCTTCTCCCATAAAGCTTTGCAGACTTAAAAAACCCTATTCAGGGTCACTGTGGGCTGGAACCAACTGAGTGGCAAGCAACAGCAGCAAAGGACTTGAGTTATCAGTGTATTTTGGTATCCACAGGGAGTCCTAGAATCATTGGGTATTAAGGAAAAACTATAAATTTCTGCAAGTCACTTTCAAAGAGAAATTTCAAGTAATTTTAGATGAAGCATTTGTTTTATTTAAAATATCCAAAAAATTTTATTCCTAAAATCTGGGGTCTTCCAGATGGTGAATAAATAGAAACCCAATCTAAAACAGATCCTGCAAATCAATATGTACCAATACAGACCAATCACGAAGGGAAAAAAAGCCGAGTTCATATTAAAAATATTTAGCATTTGAATTACACAGGTATCAACCAATCAGAATGGTCAATGACTATACTGTGTAGCAACTGCATATAAACCCTGAGAAAAAGTAGGAAGCAGAGCAAGGGTTTCCATTTATGTAAAAAGCACACACATGTATTTGCATATACATAGTTCAGTAATATGTGTTCATAAGAAACGGATATCAGTGGTTGCCTCGAGCAAAGGGAACTGGGTAAGGGGGTCATGTAATTTATGGTTTATTGCAGGTCAGTATTCAGACAAAAGGGACCATACTAATTATTCTAAACAGCAGGCAGAAACTCCTACTACTCTGGGTAAACCAAGGCATCCAGTCTTCCTAGAACTGGAGAACCTAGCTCAGAGAATGGAGTAGACTCTCGACCGTGTAAGAAACAGAACTCCCTCTCCCACTTCTGTTTTAAAGTAAAGTCGCTCTAGAGAATAGTAAGGGCTCAATCTACAGTGAAATCAAGATGGTGGTGGTTATGTGCCGTGGAGTCGGTGCCGACTCATAGCGACCCTGCATAGGGTTTCCAAGGCTGTAAATCTTTGTGGGTGCAGAAAACCTCATCTTTCTCCTGCGGAACCACTGGTAGTTTCGAACTGCTACCCTTGAGATTAGCAGCCCAATTTGTAACCACTATGCTATCAGAGCTCCTAGAAATCAAGATAAGAGCTTGCAAATTGTGTTTTATGATTTGTATCTGTGGCACTGTGGATTAATGTGATGGACTGCAAAGTTGGTTTGAACCACAAGGTCGGTGGCTCAAGCTCACCAGCTGCTCCATAGAAACCCTATACGTGTTTATTATGAGTTGGAACTTAACTCGACAGCACTCATAAAACTACAACAAAATTATCAACAAAAAAGAAATCTAGGTATTTTTAAAATTAACGCTGGGTCTGGATGTTGAAAAATGTCCAGTTTACTAACAACAATGATGATCCAACAACCAATAAAGCTAAGACGTCAGAATAGTATTAGAGGGGTGTAGAAGTTTGGACGATGAATCTGCCAGACAGATTAGTAAAACTCAAGAGCTCACAACTGTGTTTTTTATGTGCTTTACATAGGAACTTACTGCTCGCTTTTTCCCTGGTTTTCAATATCCAGTGGAAAGTTTTATAGAGTATAGACAGAGCAAACTTAATAATAACTATATTGTGTTGTCCATTGATGCACTGGTTCCACTTAGACTCGTTTAAAATTAAAATATAACATTTAAAATGATAGTTTAGGAGACTGATCGCCTAGAGAATATCATACTCAAAAACTCTCCCTAGTTTGCTGTCTATTCTGTCAGCCTCCATCAGGAACTGCTTGAGGATTTGAGGAAAACGTCAATGGTAAAGGAGGAACCAGAACCAAACCCAGGATGCTGTCCTTGAGTTGATTACGAGACATAGGGACCCTCTAGGACAGGCTAGAACGACCCCCATGGAGTTTCCAAGACTGTAAATAAAGCAGATGCCACATTTTTATTCCATGGAGCAGTTGGTGAGTTTGAACCAACAACCTTTGGATTAGGAGCCAAATGCTTTAACCACTGTGCTGCCACCAGGGTTCCCGGGTAAAGGGAGACAAGGTATTTTCAGTGAGTCAAATATAGGGTAGGATGTTGTTGTTGTTGTTAAGTGCCATCGAGTCGGTTCCGACCCATAGCGACCCTGTACAGGGTTTCTGAGGGTGTAAATCTTTACAGGAGTAGAAAGCCTCATCTTTCTCCCGCGGAGCGGCTGGTAGTTTCGAACCGCTGACCTTAAGGTTCGCAGCCCAATTCGTAACCACTACGCTACCAGAGCTCCTTCTAGGGTAGGATAGTAAAGGCATAAAATTTCAAGCTGGAAAATGCTGGTCTCATCTAGTTTCCTGCCTCTTGGCTTTAAACCCCACCCTGCAAACCCATGTGCTGCAGTTTGGTTTGGAGAGAAATTCCTAGGGGCACCGTTTCTTTAAAAAACCATTTTTTGCAGCATCTGTTTAATAAGCACTGTACCGGGAACCACTAGGTCAGCAGTTTAAGGCCACCAGAGGCTCCATAGGAGAAAAATGAGGCTTTCTGCTCACACAAAGATGTACAGTCTTGGAAGCACTATATAGGGTTTCTATGAGTCGGAACCAACTCCCAACTCGACAGCACTTAACAACAACAATATGTGTAGTATCTAGCTCAGTGCCAGTATATGCACTGGGCTCATATAGGTGCTTTGGAGCGCAAAGGAGAAGAAGACTGAACTTGAGAACCAGAACTCACTGCCTCCTGTGCTTGCTACTGTGAGCCCTTAAATTTGTGACATTACATTTCCAATAATGAGCATTTCCATTTATTGAATCTATGAGCCCTGTATGATAAGCACTGCACTGCTAATGGCAAGCCTGGCAGTTCAAACCCACCAGCAGTTCATGGAATCCTTATACAAGGTTGCTGTGAGTTGGAACCGACTCAAAGGCACACAACAAGAACAACAAGAGTGACAACATGACCGATACAGAAGCCAGAAAGGCAGCCTATAAATGCTTTCTCTAATGTACATAAAAGAGAGAGAGAGGGGGGCTGGTGGGCTTGAACCACCGACCTTGTGGTTCACCGTGCAGTACTTATCATACCGAACCATGAAAGATCTTACTATATATTTTTTTAATGTGGTTTCTATTTAAGAGTCTCAATTGTACCCTGTAGGAAAAGTCATTTGTTAAGTCACTTCCATATTTTTTAAGTTAAAAAAAAAAAAGGGAAAGAAATATAAAATTAGAATAAATCTGACACAATAGCTAGAGAAGCAGTGAGAGGAAAGGGGAAAGAGAAATTGTTGCTTAAGCAAAAAATAAACAAGTCAGTTTAACAGGAGTAAAAGAAAAAGTATATGCAAAAAAGCAGCTCGCCCTCTTCGAGAAATTCTCACAACTGATTTTGCCATAGAGGAAGGTAAGTGTTACAATATCTCGCTAACCAATCAGCAGCCTTGCTGGCCTCAAACCAGGAAACCCTTTAAAGTATAGTATTTTGAACTGTGCAACTGAGACTTCTGGCTCTCAGCTAGTTTTTGTTCCCTGTGCTTGTAGGATGGAAAACCAGATGTGAAGTCTCTCATGGCGAAGTTTAACACAGGGGGCAATCCCACAGAGGAGGTCAACAGCCGACCCTTCAAAGTCACAGGGCAGAACTCACCTTCAGGAATACAAGCAAAAAAGAATTTATTCGACAACCAAGGAAATGCCAGCCCTCCTACAGGACCCAGCAACGTGCCTAAATTCGGGGCCCCCAAACCACCTTTTGGAGTAAAACCACATTCTGAGGAAAAGACTGACAAGGAGTCCAAACCCCCATTTCTAAAGCCTACCCCTGGAGGCAACCAAAGGTTTGGGGCACTGGCAAATACGCCCAACAGAGACCCTGAGGTAAAAGTAGGAGCTTTGAAACCTGTAACCCCCAAGACCAACAATTTTCCCAAAGAAGATTCCAAACCAGTGTTTCCCCGGCCTTCTGGGAATAAGTCATCGCTTCAGAGCGTAAACCAGGACGAAGTAAAGCCACCAGGCCCAAAGGCCTGGTCTAATCCTCCAGGCCAGGAAAATGAACAGAAGCAAGTTTTCCCAAAATTGGCTGGGGTTAAAGGCAAGTTTATGTCAGCCCCTCAAGAACCTGACACCAAACCCCACTTTCCCAAACCCGCCTTTGGCCAGAAGTCTTCCTTGAGTACCGATGCTTCCCAGGAAGATGAGAGCCCCACTAAGAATGCATCTCCACAGAGAGGACCCCCTACTTCCCTAGGAGTCAAATCTAAATCGGGCCCTTTAAAACCAGCCAGGGAAGATCCAGAAAATAAAGACCCTGGAGGTGATGTATCAAGTTCACCTTTTCCTGGAGTGGTTCTGAAACCCACGGCAAACAGAGGGGTCCCTGGCCTCTCCAAAAATGCTGAAGAAAAAAAAGAAGAAAGAAAGATAGATGCTGCTAAGAATGTCTTCCTGAGCAAAATGAATCAGGAGGAGGAAGCATCTCCTGCCAAGTTCCCTAAGGTGCCTTCTAAGCTGACAATGGGAGGACCGTGGGCCCAAAGTCAAGAGAAGGAAAAGGCGGACAAAAGTTCAGCCATACCCAAGAAGAAGCCATTGCCTCCTTTATTTACCTTGGGCCCCCCTCCAGCAAAACCAAGCAGACCACCAAATGTTGACCTGTCAAAATACCGGAAAAACGCTCCTGGAAACTGTGAGTCCCTGTCTCATTTTCTACTTAGTATGTTTGTTTCTACAGCAGAGTATGTTCTAACTTCTGGAGGGAAAAGCAATGACATGGCATGATCCCATAACTGGTCCTCGTGCTGAATTTGGTTTGGCAGTTTCTTCTTGGGTGTGGTAGGTCTGAGAAGGTAGGAGGTCTTAGTTCTGTGTAGGCATTCTGTGAAAAAATGCCTTGGTGGCCTGGTTTTGAGGTGGAATGCATCTATTTGGGTTGATAAATGGTTTTGCTTAATGACCAACATTTCATTTACTTCCTTACTTGAAACTTCATTTCTGTGGGATGTCATTAAGATACATAAAAAGAATTACATAGAAAAGTTAAACAAACCTCTAACTTTTGACTAGAGGCAAAATGACCAGAGGCAATTTGGCTCCTGTCTCCCCTCCCCACCTAAGGGACATTTAGCAATGTCAGGAAGCTTTTTTGTTTGTCACACCTGGAGAGTTCTACTGGTATTTAGTGGGTTATTGCTAAATACTCTACAATTCACAGGAATTATCCACAGAACTGTCTTATCTGGCCCAAAGTGTCAGTAATGCTGAGGTTAAGAAACACTTCTCAAAGGGGTTCTAAATGTTCACACAATTCATTGTACATTTCCTAAAACCCAGTATTCAAATAAGAGACAGGCAGGACTCTTGTGAAATGGCAGTTTCTGTTGAGTATTTTGACTGTTTTCCATTTCCCAGTATAAAGTTTTCTGACATTTTCTGGTTCCTAAACTAGCAAATACCAGAGCCAGGACAGTTAAATCAGAATCGTTTAATTTTGCCACCAGAGACATGGATAAATTACTACCCCATGCGGTACAATTCAGCACTGAGTGACATGGTCAGACTTTGTAACTCTGAACAGTGATCAGAAGCACAAGCTTAGTCATGCCCTGATAATATTTTAGGTAGATGATATGCAACTGTTACTTTTTTGTGGGGGGCAAAAAAAGGAGGATGTTTACCCGGAACTCTAGCACCGTAAGGCATTACTTCTTCTTACAAAATGATGGTCTCATGAAAGCAGATGATGCAGGATCAGCCACGTTTCATTCCCGGGTCAACTCCACAGCAATTAACAACAAAGCCGTTCTAGGACTAACAGTTGTGGGTCTTTGATTTCCTTGCTGTGCTATGTAATGTGTCATCTTCCTGAGAGCCATATTTCAGTGTTTATAAACAGGTTGGTTGGTCCAATCCTCCATTAGTTCTATCGTGTGAAAAGCAAGTTTGGAATGAGGCTGTGCTGACCTAGATTCAGCCTGGTTGCACCTGAGGTTCCTTCTTCCTCTGTCATCTTCTTGTTTCAATTCTGCTTCATAACTCAAAACTGTTATACTTCTAAGGACTTCTAAACCATATTTTTTCTGTGCCTCAGATAAAAATTGAACTGTCATAACTTCATTGTACAGCTGTAACTTCAAGTGGGGGGTGAGGGGAGATGTGGAGTGGAGGAACCATTCTGATGGGAAATCGAAAGCCTTTGAAAGCCTTCTTCCATGTCCTCCATGTTTAACTTCCACTCCACGACCAAGTTCCCTTAATGAAGTTCTATTATTAGGTTCCATCGAATGGGTTCCCACTCATAGAAACACGATCTATTCCTGCTCAGTCAATCCTCACTATTGTTTCATTTGAGTCCATTGCTGCTGCCACTGTGTCACTGTTTGGACAATGTTCTGCCACGCTTCATAATGTTTTCATTTCTTCTGGCACTTATCTGACAGTGTCCGGCTGTTGTACATGTGGTTGTCAGAGACTAAACATTCACAAGTAGTCCACCTCTCCTTCTTCCTAGTCTGTCTTAGAAAAAAGGCTCTGCTGAAACCTGCCCACCACTGGTGACCCTTCCAGTATTTAAAGTACCATGGAATAGCTCCCAGCATCACAGCATCACGCAAGTCACCACAGTACAACAAACTGATAGATGATCAGTGGCATGAAGTGCTAATAAAGTCATCTATCTGGTCTGCACAGTGGCCACTGAGGCAGGCCTGGCAACATTAGTATTGAGCTGAATTTCAAGGCAGCAAAGCAACAAGGGACACAGGGATAATTGCTAAGTCGGCAAAGTAATCCTTACACTCTGTATTAATTTCTTAATTCTAGCCTCACAGTTGTAAAAGCTAGAGGTCTTATTTCAGGGACATGCTCTTTCCGAAGGCTCTGAGATATCTTTTCCTGTTTCCTCCAGCTTCTGGTATCACCAGGTGGTCATCAGCCTTAGCTTGTGATGTGTAACTCTAATTTCTGTCAGTCTTCACATGGGCATCTTTCCTGTATGCCTGCCGCCGTCCCTCTTCTCTTCTGTATATAAGGACACCACTCATTGAATTAAGACCTTCTGGCCCAACCTCAATCTGACCTCATGTTAAATGATAACATCAAGTGTTCAATTTCCAAACAAGGTCACTTTATAGGTGCCAGGAGTGAAGATCTTGTCTACCATTTGTTCGGTCTTCTAAACCTCTGCCCGACAGACACCGTTCTTCAGAATGCTTAGTGTGCATTCATCTTCCTTGATACCTAACACAAGATCCTAATCCCCTCACACTTCTTGCACAAATAGTAGCATTTTGTATTCAACACCTGACCCTGGATTGCTTTTTCTTTTCAAAATAAATCCTAGATATCTTTCCACATTTTAATAAAGAGCAACCTATTCTTTTTGAGAATGGTGTAATATTCTTATAAACAGATAGCTAGCTTAACTGATTTAACAATTTATTTCATTTCCGAACTTCTCCTCTCAGAAATAATGTTGCTGAGAATAACCTTATAGGTAGCTGCCAACTTAGGACAGGGTTCTATTCTTCTTAATTCTGTTGCAAATGGAATGCCTGGTGATACCTCTTTGCAATTCAGTGTGACTTGCAAGTGGGGGACTTCTTGAATGTGATAAAATAAGTTTTTATTTTCTGAATACAGCTGTGTCTGTTGACCCTTAATGTCTTCACAGCCGTTTTTCCTAATTCATGCTAGAAGTAGTAAGAAATTTAGCATTCCATTTAGGAAGGTTAAAAATATATCAAATTAAAAGCATTTCTTCATGTTATGTGGTAACTATAGGCCAGTCTGAGGAGCTGGCAAAGAAGTAAATTTTGGTGTAGCAAAATAAGTTCAAGGATTCCATTTATCCTGAGTGGAAACTTATTAATTTATCATTTTTTAAGTGTGGATTATGGCTCAGAGAGATGTGATTTATCCAAAATCATACACTCAAGATTCAATCTATGTCTCCAGATTCCAAGTTCAGTACTTTATCCATTTATCATCCTGCCTCAATATGATATGTATGTTTGTGTTTATTTTCTGTGCATGTGTGTATAAAATACAATTTATACTGAATGTATGTATGGGCATGCATCATTACAAATGCAAATACACAGTTTTAATATATCTAAAGCGCTCTGGTAGCTGCCATCTCATTTAATTTTCATAGTGTCCCATGAACCAGGTAAGGTAATTTTATGATCACATTTTAAACCAAGGAGCAGAGTATCTAGGGCAACAGCAAGGCACACAAATAGAGCAGGGAGTGATATGGGAGTTTGTTGCCATGTAATGTGGCCTTCAGAATCAGTAGACCTGAGTTTTAAGCTCTCTACTCACTTATTTATCAACTGTAACTTCAGTCAGATTACACTATTTCTTTCCATCTCAGTCAAGTTTTCTTGATTTGAAAGAAGTGAAGATAATGCCAATTATTTCACAGGTATATTGAAAGCTCATAAGATAATTAAGATAACATTTAAAGTACTTAACACTGTATTTGTTGTTGTTGTTGTTGAGTGCCATCAAGTCGCTCTGACTCATAGTAACCCTGTATAGGGCTTCCAAGGAGCAGCTGGAGGGTTTGAAGTGCCAACCTTGTGATTCACAGTCCAGTGCTGATCCTACAGTGCCATACCTATTTAGGACGTAGTAATAGATTTGACACTGTAGGATCAGCACTGAACTTCGTACCACAAGGTTGATTGTTCAAACCCACCAGCTGCTCCTCAGAAATCCTATATGGGGTTACTATGAGTCAAAACCAGCTTGGCGGCATTTAACAATAACAACCAATAGCTAGTAAAATGAGTAAGCTCTGTCTATAATTCACTATTGCTATTAGTATTAGAGTCGCTACGAGTTGGAATCAACTTGACGGGACTTAACAACAACAATTAGCATTAGAACTTTATTCCCAGCCTCCTAATGCTTTCATTATTTTATATTATGAGGAATATTCTAGGATCCATGAAAATGCATTTGACGTACATCCCATGTGTATTAAATAAATTTATTAATGAGATATATAGATATAAAATCACAGCAAAGAGTTAAACAATGCCTGAAGAGAGAGTTGTACCAGAAAAGCCTGGAAATGAAGTCTACATTCCCTCCCCATTTCCAACACACAGAAGGTACAGCGCATTGAGTTGTGTCCAGGTGGTGTTAGACAATGGTCACCAAGAGGTGTTGTCACCTCCCATGACTAACACCAAGGAAAGTCATTTTGCTTAGCCAAACCGAGTTGTAGAAAGACCATGAAACCAGGATGAAGCCACTGATATCATCAAGATTAATGTTTTCAAGGCCATTATTTCCCATCCACTATGCCACACACACTCCCTGTTACCCGTCAACTTAGAAGAAATAACTTTGCCTGATTTACTGTGGATCGTGATCAGCCATTTGGACTGGCCACTTCAGGAAAAATACTCCTGGTTGTGCTGCTGTGGACCCTAACTTCTCCTGAGTTTAGAGTTTTAGTCCAACCCTGACAAATTTACAGTCCAAATGCATCAGGTGTGGTATGCATTTTCAGATAGCAGAGCTTCAGAATAAATTATTTGCCACATAGTTGAACTAGAACATTTACTCATTTGCTTATAATAAAATGGGAATGAACAGAGATTTTATGCTTTAGAAAAACTCAGATTCTACTGTTGTTGTTGTTGTTAAGTGCCGTCGAGTTGGTTCCGACCCATA